AAATATATATATATATATATATATATATATATAAAATGATAGATTAAACTACCCAGCAGTAGGCTATATACGCAATTAAAATGAACACACTAATGCAGAAATATAATACAATAGTAAAGGTTATTTTTAAATGGGACAGTTTAATGTTTTGGTACCTTGATATATGAAAACGTTTTACTCGAGTATGATTTTGCACTTTGAACACTATTGCTAAAAAATAAAGAGTAGCCTACTTCTTCCATGACTGCATGCGAGCAGATGCTGTTCCAGAGCCGATCCCTGCTAAAAGGAAGTCAAAGGCTGCATACCCTCGGACCACAAGCAACAGCCTTATTCCTCAAAGACCTGCGCTACGTAAGTGTACATTTAAAAACTCCACGATCACCGGGCATATCGATTATGATGCTCCAAGTATTCTTTAAAAATATGTCTCCCTTTTCTGAACCCCAGCCCCCCAACCCAATCTACATTTGGACAGGAGCAAGAAGCCCTCCCAGACCGACGTTGCAAAATCAAGTATGTACTGATTACTATGTAAAAGTTAAACAGCAACATGTGGTCATCGTGTGACAATACTACACTTCTCTGTGTTGCACTATCACTCATGTCCAGTAGAGGGCAGTGCTGTCAAGGCTCCCGGCTCATTCACAGGCAGGATCCCAAAACCCAGAATCCCCAGAGCTACAGATGTGTTCAACAGGTAGTTTTCAGCTTCATTCATTTCAATCATCAGGACGCAAAGTATAATTGAACTAATAGTGAATGACTTTAAACAGCCTAATCCGAATTTGGGCTTTATTCTGATTGATGTCAGTTGCCTTGTTTTATAGGTATTACGTGTTAATGGCGCACATATTTGTATACATGTCTAATAATCTTTTGAATACATTGATCTTGTGTTGTTAAACATAATTGACATATACATGTAAAAAACGGCTATATCAAATTATCCACAGGGGCATACATGAGGGGTCCCTTGAATGAATTGTATTGTAAGGGGTCATTGTCTACCAAACAACTAAAAGTGTATGCTCTGGGTAATGAGCTATTGTGGTTTTCTCATTGATGTTCCATTTAACCTCTCCCCTCCCAGAATAAGTAAACGCGATCAAGTTCCTTCAGCGCCCACAAAGCCTGCTCCGGTTGAATCAATTCAAAAACCAACAAGGGTGAGAATCAAAGTGGAATCAGAAATGAGCCAAGCTTTAGAACACCACAGTACTTTGGGAACTCGACCAGCAGATGGCGCTGTTGTAAAAAGGAACACAACGGTGCAACCCTTATGTCTGCTGAACTCTACAGACTTGCATTTAATTCAAAAGCTTGGGTACATGGAAATATCTGTTACATTTGTGCTTCAACAACAATAATGTCCAACACATGTTTGTCACTGCAAAAAGAGAAAGAAGAGGAAACGATTTATAAAGCCCTGACTGTCTTTGTATAGTGCATTGAGGGTTTGGATCCCAGTTGGTATGGAGGGAAGGTGACCAGACGTGAAGCTGAAGCTGCTCTCAGAGAGATGAACAAGGTAAGGGGCTGCCTCTCACATATCTCATCCTCCTCTTTCTTGAACACACACACACACACACACACACACACACACACACACACACACACACACACACACACACACACACACACACACACACACACACAAAATCATGTTATACTGACTGAAAGTATACTCCAGAGTGCATTTGTCCACATTTGTGTTATTAGGACGGAGCGTTTGTGGTGAGGGACAGCTCACAGGGCGCACTTGAGCAGCCTTACACCCTGATGCTGCTGAAACAAGGCAAGGTTTACAACATTATGATCCGTAACCAAGGCAACTCCTACTCCCTGGGCACCGGCCTCAAAACCACCAAGGTAAACTGAGAGTGATGTTGTTAGAATGAGAGAGAAAATGCCAGTCCGAAAAGTGTCCCCATCTTGTGGCAGGCCTCGGGGTGTGTTTGATGCTGACTCGTGCTGCGCTGCGTCATTAGGTCCCTGTCATCTTTTCTTGTGTGCCGCTGTGCTGTAGAGTTTCCCCGGGGTGAAGGAGATGATTGCCCATCACACACACACCCCTCTGCTGCTCATCGATGCCACAGACCGGAGCTCTGAAGCACAGAACCAGTGCTGTCTGCTGCACCCTGCGGGACTCGGACCAGCACCACCACCAACCTAATGGGGCTGTTTACCTTGGTTTCTGTATGCTAATGTGAGCACATGAATCAACAACCCAAAACAAATGTCACCATTTTCACAATCACCAAGATCATTGTTATGCAATTCCTCTTTTGTAACTTGTTTAGCATTTTGACTAAGCAGAACGGGGAAAAAGGGAATATTTCAACATGGCTGGTGGTTTGTATATTTTATTAAACCATGTTTTCCCAGACACACAGCATCCCCTCTGTTCTTCATGTTTCAAGTTGTCATGCTGGGGGCTGCTGCTGCTGCTTCAGCGCCTCGTGGATTCTCAGAGGAGGCTTCTTGTCAGGGTGGCCAACACACACGATCAGATCACATTGCCTCAGCTGGGTCTGCACTGCAGGAGGAAAACAGATACCTCCTTTTAGAAGAAGAGCCTCGGGTCAACACAGTTCTTAGATGGTGCAAAAGTCACGTTTCAACATATATAGAAAGTTCTGCACCAAGGAAGTTGGAAGAACATAAAAGGGAGATGCCTGAGAGATAAAATAGCATATATTCCTCTCTATTTTGTCATCGTATTATTAGTCAGTTCTGGTATTCACTGTACCGACACAAAGATACATTACTCATCATTCAATTGCTTGACATATCACATCTTTTCAGCATGCGAATCGTTACCGGGTTTTGATTATGTTATCACACTGAACTAAAAGTGTGCATACTAAATTAGGTGGATATCTGAGTGATAAGCAGAATTATTGTACGATTGACAATGAAAATAGAGGAGCAACTCACAGCTGGAACAATCAAAGCTATTTCTGGGTGAAACAGCAGACAAACTACATGAGCATTTCATCGTTGCTCAAAATAATTCAGTTTTTTAGGTTAAGTAGGTTTTCTATTTTAAAACGGTTATCTTTCATAATTCCCTTTCTTTAGTACAAACTGGTGTATTCATGTATTGCTTTAAAGCCAGAACAATGTTTTTATTCAAAGAAACACAACCTCTGACACTTGTTTGCAGGCATTAAAAAAGGTATTAAAGTAAGAATATATGTCCCTAATAACACAGTAAGCAGAGAACTTTGACTCCCTTTACTCTTTGCAGAAAAAATAAACTCAAACATCATGCCTATCATCAAATAGCATAGACAACCATGTGTGTGAATTCCATCCGTTACTCATATCTACCAATCAGCAGAGAGCGATCTGACAGACGTCATGTCACATTGTGTAACTTTGCACCACTGACATTCACAAGCAAAGCAAGGCAAATTTGAGCAGCAGTTGGAGTACAATAATCCAATTCTTGCTATCACATTTCAGATCTAGGATAACAGTTACATGAAGCGCTTTGCATATTTGCAAATCGATCATCAAGGTCATCGTACTTGCCGTCAGCAAGCCTCAATTATTATTTTGTGTAAAAGGAGCAGATTGAGGGAAAACTGTCAGACTTACATGCCAGTTGATCTATGCAGTAAGATAAGGAGTCCAGCCCTTTCAGTATGTTTACCAGATCGATGCAGGCAGTTGAGGGAGCTTGCTCTGGGTTTGTGTCTGCGTTATCCATCTGAAAAACAATTGCATAACAACGAAACAAGATTTGTCAGTATGGTATTCATTTAATGTGTATGGTATTAATACATACCATACACAAGATCTTACACATTTGAAATTTAATTCTTATTGCTGGTGTTACATCGCAACTAAAATATAAGCTATAATGAAAGCAATACAATACAAAAGTAGGTGCCAGGCATGTCTGTCTATGTCTATTAAAAAAAACACAGGAGAACTTATTTTCTTTTTCTTTTTTTATTGTTCAACTCAGGAGAAACAGAACACTCCATCACCACCAAAACATGCAAATTGTACAGGCCATGCAACAATAAAAACACACTCAAAGAGCTCAGTATGAGCATTAGTGAATACGAAATCCTGTTTTAAAGACAAAAAGGCAGAACCATCGGTCCAAATACACATTCTCCATAGCAACGTATAAAAACGACTTTTACAAGCGTTCCACTTAGTCTCAGTGTAATCTTGTCAACTAAAAACTCTGATATAACATCTGAGTAGGTGCTATGGTGGTGGGCTCAGGTCAAATGCTACTTTCTGACTCGGGCTCTTGTCGGTCTCCACAGATAATAGCTCTGCATTTATTATATGCTTCTTCCAGTTTCTGCATAGAAGTCCCCAGCTCGGGACTGGTCCGCAGTGCCACCATGTCATAACCCATCCAGGTCAACTGCACTGTAGGTTTCACAGAAAAAGTACATGTATGTTAGCTAACACAGCTCCACAACAAACGATCAATTACTGTGTCTGTAAGCGGACAAAGTAACTTACCGGATATATCTTCCACGGCTTCTATAACTCTCTCCAAATCCTTGTTCACCTGCAAGGCGTCGTTGATGCTTTCTTGTGGAAGCTCGGGCAGCGCAGATGAATCGGCCATCTAAATAATAAACCGGCATACGAACTGTATCAGCTGTCGGTTTATTAAACAGTAACAATACACTACCTCCGCAAATAAAACGGATTAAAACGCTAGCTTGTCCCGGCTGAAAAGCCTAATTTTAGTTCATGTTAGCTAATGTTTGCTAATCGTAGCTAATGTTTGTTTATGGTAGCTAATATGTTTAGAGCTAGCTATCTCACTAACCAGTTAGTAAGGTCAAGTTAGCATCGTAGGTTCTTAAGTAAGTTAGGTTTGACATATTTCCAACTGTCAACAGCAACACAAACACTTACAAATATCAGCTTAAGTTTTATTCTATCAGTGTATGGGTTGAAGGTGTACTAACTAGTTTATAAATGCAAAAACTTACGATTGAGTGCTGTTCTTCGGCAAGTTGGTTTGAACTCAAAACAAAGGTCTCGCGGCAAAAAAAAACGACGCAGTGCGCCTTTCCATTTGAAAACATGATGACGTAACTTCCTACGTTATCCGAAATCGTAGGATATATAGTTGTATATATATGTTTATATGTTTTATATGTATATGTTTATTGCTAATGTTAAGGTTCCCTTTTCATATAATTATTTTATATACTTTTTTACATGTTTGCATTTGTAGACTAAACTGTGTAAGAATGGACATGACCTGCTTAATGTCTGCTTGCTCCCAATTTAATAGGGAGACGAGAAGAAATAAAAAACGCTAAATCATGATATAATGATAACATGCCATTTAACACCAACACTGTGGCCAATTATAAAAAGTGATCATTTAATTTGTGAAATTCTAGATTACGAGAGGATATGGGCAATGTCCCCTAGAATTTCGTATTCATTTAAATGATATCAAAATACTATGTATTCAAAATTAAACTATATATCGCTACCGATATTCTAACACTGTTACTAGTTACTAGTAATAGTTGATGCTTTCATGGTCTACTTATCATCATTTATGATTGCTCTTGCTATATCACCATTTTCAGAGTGTGGTCAATCAACAAACAGTTAATGCAAATACTTTATAATATATAATTAAATACTATCTATATAGAACAAGAACATAGTCACAAAATTGTCTTCGGGATGGTAGTTTATCTTCATAATAACTACTCTGTTCAGTGTTTACTCAAGAAATGCTTATTAAAATGTATAATTTAAATAGGGCACATTTTTAAGTCAATTTACATTTTCATCATTATCATCAAAAAGTTACAGAGGAGTGAACTTAATCAATGTTGCAGTAGCAGCTTGAGTGGAAAAATATTTAATTGAGGTTAAAAAAAAAACCTGGAGACCAACAAGCTGACAGTATGAAAAAAAAGTGGGAGGAAACAGGATAAAGGTCTCACCTGAGAAAATAACCAATCACATGAGGCAGGGAAACAGATAAAGCAGGTAAGGCAGGTGAGGAGGGGCCAACAGACAAGAAGAGAGTGGATAAGAGCCTACGACTTTGAAGTGTAGACACCATCATTTGGATCAACTCACATTCAAATACCTGCCAACGTCTAAAGAAGAAAAGGACTTCGGGAGCTGACAATACCGCTCCACAAAGAACATTGGCACATAAAGGAGAAAGGCAAAAGGAGATTTAAAGAGGTGAGAATACATTTAATATGTCTTCATTTGAGACCCAGGGCCAGTCTCCACCTCGGTGTGGCCCGCAGTTCCCCAGCCTGGGTCAGGAGCCCCCTGAGCTCAGCATGTACAGTGACTGTTACTACCCCCCTCCCTCACTGCCGAGTCCTCAGCGCACCGCTCCGACTTCCTACGACCTGAGCGACTACACCTCCACCCCAAACCCTTACCTTTGGTTCAACGGCACCGGGATCAACACACCGCCGTACTTGGCTACAACGGGCCCACCTGGTAACCCAGGCCCCCCCTTTGTCCCCCAGCACTACGGCATGCAGAGGCCCTACCTGGGTCCTGCTGGAGCTGGGGGCCCAGGAGGGGAGCTGAGCTGGTTCTCCCTCCCCTCACAAGAAGACCTGATGAAGCTGGTCAGACCTCCCTACTCGTACTCCGCTCTCATCGCCATGGCTATCCACGGAGCACCTGACAGGAGGCTGACATTGAGCCAGATTTATCAGTACGTGGCTGACAATTTCCCCTTCTACAATAAAAGTAAAGCTGGATGGCAGAATTCAATCCGACACAACCTGTCACTCAACGACTGCTTCAAAAAAGTACCAAGAGATGAGGATGACCCAGGTAATATTTGCTTTTGATTTCCTTATGACTCTATTTTTTAATTTCACCCCAACAAGGGCATTTGTTGTATGTACCATCGTGTTTTATTGGTGTGTTGTATAAAGCTTTTTTTTTTAATTCAAATTGAACCTCACTAACTCTGCATTCTTACATCACAGGCAAGGGCAACTACTGGACACTCGACCCAAACTGTGAGAAGATGTTCGACAATGGAAACTTCCGCCGCAAAAGGAAGAGGAAGTCTGATTCCCTCTCCGGTGGAGATGGCTCAGGGGCTCCGGAGTCAGGAGACAGCGAAAGGGGAAGCCCCAAACACTCAACTGCCCTCAACATGTCTCCCACGGCAGACCGGATCCCCTCCCCTTCATCGTCGGGGCCCGCTCCTTGCCTCAGCAGCTTCTTATCCGAGATGTCTGGAGTGACAGTAGCTAATGAGGTGGGGAGTAATGGGTTAAGTCGGCCACTGCAGATCAACCTAGATGGGCCTCATAGACCTGGAACCTTTAGCAACTATTCACCCAACTCAGGCGGACAAGAGTGGGGACCCCAAGTATCAGCTCCCACTGTGCTCTCCTCTTCACCCACCCACTCTTCCCTAGGCTACACCAGCCCCATCCTCAGCCAGTACAGTGCGTCCAGTGGGCATTTCTACCCAACACTTGGCTCGACAGGAATCATCTATCATCGTGAGGGCACCGAAGTTTAATAAGACATTAAAGGGGGGTTGGGGGGGGGGAGGGGTGTTTGGTTTCTGGTAAAGACTTTCCACAGGAAGTGTTACCTGTCTGGTCACTTCAGTTTGTTCGGTTGTGAAAAACACAGAGTTTGCGCTGACTGAGGCAGTTGAAGATCACTATAGCGTGTGACATCAGAGTAAAAAGGCTTTGATTCCCACAGAAACAGCTGAGTCAGTAGCAATGGACTAGAAGTGTCCCTCCCTTAAAACCGCAGTCAGCCTCTATATCAGATCCTCAGTCAGCTTTTATTCGAAGTTAAGCAAATCTCTATCAGATCTGACTCATTACTAACAGATCCTGGATCCTATCTGCTGACATCAGGCCATTCCACACTGCTATCTGAGATTCTTTGATGGTATCACCCATACAGCGCTCAGGCAGCACATTTAGAGTAGTAGTTGAATTACACCATTGTCTACTAAGTCTGTGTAGGAATTAACTAAAGGTAGAATTTATTTCATGTTTTTTTCGTAGGCCTAGTAGTAAAGCTTAACATCTGATGAAGTTAGAGTCCTGGAGTCTGAAAATGTAATTTTATCTTGTAAATATGACAATGTGTTATGTAATTTTGTGCATTTTTATTGTTGGTTTGTTGGTTATTGTAAAAAAAAAAATCAATCCTAATGTATGGTATGCTATCTATGTTGTGTTTTTGATATGAATAAAAGGAATACACTCTACACATTATTTCTCATTTTGTGTTCATGAAAGATTGATATTTTATTCAAATTAAGGAGCCATAACATTTCTCTCAAACATCAAACCCATTCAAAAAGAAAGTTAGGAAAGGAAGTAAGCGTTCACTGACAGAAAACTGTCAAAAAAGCGGTGACCAGTAGAGTAGAACCTGCATGTCGGTGAAACCCGATCTTTGTGTGATGGATTGTTAACTGATTCTAGTAAACGGTGAAAATCCACATTCCCATGCTGTCCCTCTTTGCTACACCAAACACTGAAAAGTCAGTCACACCATCTACAGATACTGCTGACTGGATGCAAGCAGCTCTATCTGTGGAGAGGGACCAACTGTAAAAAGCTGTAGAGATGCTGAGGCGTGAATTAACGGCTAAATAAACACTGTCACTCAACATAACAATTGCAGTATTAAAACTACGATCATCACATATAGTTGAGAGTCTTATGAAAGTAAATCAAGAACCTCTTGTGTGTATCAAGTCAAAGTTAGGAGATGTATTCACAAAGAAAGAGGTGAGTGCTGTACAAAGACATTCAGGTTAGTTTCTCCAGTGACTCATATTCATGGAAAGGTACTAAAAATATACATACAGCAATGTGTGGTATACATAACACATGTAGTAATATAAAGAATAATGTATTTATCACGGGAGTAGTGTGACAGTTTGGAAGGAATACAAACAGAAAATAAAGTAAAATAGAATACAGTCTTGAACATCAGAAGTCAAAGTAAAACTGTGCAATTTCAGGACAAAATAAAATAGAATACAAATATTTATATTAACATAAGAAGTTAAGTAAAGCAGTGCAAATGTGCTTAAATATTCCACACCAATTAACATGTACAATTGTGTAAATTACAACATATAGTGGTGTATAAGTATTAATACATACATTAATGATGAAAAACAGATTATTGCTCTTAATGTAGAGTACAAAACAGTAATAATAAACGTACAATTGCTAATATGTTAATATCGGTTATATGTATGATACAACAAACTGTAATTTAAAGACTAATATAATAAGATATTATACATTTTACATTTCAAACATATTATACTCTATGAGTCTTTGGTTCCCTCAGCAAAATGTTAATTTTGGCTTTACATAATCATTAAATACAATATTATTAATTTTATAGTTGAGAAACTGTGACAAATAGAATCATTTTACCAGTTGTATTCCTGTTCTCTAGTTGTCCTGCACCCTTGTTATTAAAATAAATATAAACCCTTTGATCGGTGTCAGCCTTAGGCCTTTATTTACCCCGAAACACAGGCAGCATGACAGTCATTTATACTAAACACAGAAAGAAAGACACCCACACTTCTAACCGAGAAACAGTGGAATTTAACATCCTGGCGCAATTGGCAAAGTGTGTAAGTGGTAAGTGGTTGGAGGTTAGACGGTCAACCTGTCAACATTTGCATAACTGATTTTAAAGGGCTGAGGTTCCATTTGGAAGGATCATAAAGTTCAGTTTATTAGCTGTGTCAAGACTTTAAGGCATATCTGATTTAAAACGTGTGAAATGTCCTGCCTCACACTAAGCCGTAGACCTCATTCGGAGAAACATGGCTGTGCCAAATTCATATGCAAATAGATGATCTCTTCCTGCAGATTGGTAGCTTACAGAGGGGATCATGAGCTTTCTGGGTGTAACTAAAAGTGCAGTAAATATTAGTATATCAATGTCCCAACATGCCACACTTCTATCCCAAAATGTCTTAGCGCATGGATAGCTGGTGGACACAATTAGCTTGTTCTTTAGCTTGTTCAGACTCCGGGCTGGCAGTTGAATGATGTGGCATCAAGCACTTTGGTGGCACTTTTTTTTAAATAAGACAAATATCAGTCTTTTGTTTAAGAGACTTCAATAACAACCGATGCAAATGTGTAGCCGTTAATCACACCAAGAATGGGGATGACAGGGTCAGAGGGAGAAGGCAGTGTTCCAGATGAAGCTGCCCAGATAAGAAACGGAGAAACCTGAGGGATTTACCTTAACGACTTGATGAAACTAAAGTCAACTCGCCTTTATCAAATCTCACAATACTAATACTTGTTGATACATAACATCCTTTGTCTGGTTCTTGCACATTTTTCATTTTGGACAGTAAGCCTGAAACTCAGATTACACACTTGCTTAAGTTGGAACAACATTCAGTTATTATACTGTTTTCCTCCTGGCAGTTTCTCTTTCCTTTCTAGCCGAAAAAAAATCAGCTGCTGGTTTTTCTGCTTTCTTTCCAAATAGGCAAGGCAGTTTTATTTAATAAGCATCCTTTATGCAGATGGAATTTGAATGTGCTGTACAGAGAAGTGAGAGCAGTACAAATAAAATGAGTAAAACATTTAAAGGTTAAGGCAATATAGTTTGACCTAAAATATAAAAAATAAGATACAAGAGAAAGAATAAAAATAAATGACGATCTTAATTAAATTATAACAAGGCCTTTGACTTAAATAAATATTGCATTGTATAGCAACCTGTATCCAAACCAAAACTATGAAGCATTGGTGCACAAGCAACTAGAAATGGAATTTGTCACAGTTTCTCTAGGTGCAGGGATTCCCAACACAGCATCCATCACATGTTACTGTAGCTATGGACCTTCCTTGCCTCGAGCAGTAGAAGTATTGCTCAACAGAGTTATACGATTAAAATCTATAAATCCTCATCTACACCTGCTGCCCTGTTTCCTGGCTCGTGTCTTCCACACACCTGTCGAATAACGGAACGCACACCCCCTCACCCTCACTGTTGATGTGTGTGTGCGTGTGTGTGCGTGTGTGTACGTGTCCTTGCAGTGCGAGTTTGTGATGTTTATAATATAAACTCAAGACAAAGAATGATTACACTGTGAGCTGCTGCGAGAGATGAGAGATTTGTGTGTGTAAGAACTGTCCTGATTATTTCGCAGAAAGAAAGATTCCACACCTCACAGCACGGTGGATAAAGAGTGTTGAAAGTCTGACAGCTCATAAATCTCCTCAACTTCATTCCCTCAAAAGTGAGGAGATTTTTGTATAACTGCTACCTGCAGAAATCTAACTGTCCTGGTACCAAGTCAACCCAAAACACACACAAGGACACACACACGCACCTTCTGTATTTACTAAAACAGTCCCGTCCTATCGAGGCTGTTTGGTAAACGGTAGCAGAGAACGTGAAGCCTGGAGACATGTCGTCATGCCCAGTGCCTCAGCTCTGCATTAGCTGCTTGTGTTTAGTATAAACATCCACACACTCCAGACACACGCATACAGGTGATGAAAGAAGCCTTTATCTACTTGCCCTTTATCTTGAAGTCCTTGAATAACCTTTCGTTTTTTGTGCCCGTTAAAGGTCAATGGAAAACCAAGAATCCGTACAATTTCCACCACAGCTTGTATCCAACTGCTGATGGCAGAAAATGCTCTTACTTGGAAAATTCTCAATTTGTCCTGAAATTCTTTTTGCAAAATTGGATTTCAGAAACATTGCCTGACAATAAAACTCTTAACAAGATTGCCTAAATATGCCATTGCCATCACCAACGTCCCGCAGCCTACTCCCAGTTAAGAAAAAGTAGAAGTCCCAGTTTGCCCAAGGGGGATTAACAATCTCCAATAAAAAGCATGCAAATACAGCGGCTCCTTCTTGGAAAACTAGGTGCTTCCAGGTGTCCCAGACTCCAGAGAATAGGGCAGCGAGTGATCATCCCTTCCTAAACATGGCTTATATACAGGATATGGGGAAAAGTGAAGTTTAAAGACAAACACAGAGTGCAGTGAGACAGTGTGTATATATGAATCATTGCTATTTCACCCTAAAATATTTTTCATGTCAACATGCAGTAAACATGGCGATATGGACAGGGCTCTGCAGAGGGAGGGAGAAGGGGAGAATGTGTCCTCTATCTACAGGTGATCTAAGAAATTAGAGGCTTTGTGTAATGTTATTCTGTCTTTTTTGACTAATAGTACACTGAGAATAAAAACATTGGGTTGATAAAGGCATGCTGTGCTGGAAACAGACAGCCACAGTGAAGATTTAAGGTCCATACATTCATTTTTTTCAGGGACACTCTGATGTAGGTCAACCACTTAAGTACAGACTAAAATAATTCAACAGATTAAAAAGATAAATCATGAAGGAACATGCTTGGGAATGATACAGTAAGGGAAAGTCTTCCTTCTGGTTATATTTTAAGTAACTGCCTCTGATAGCTCCCCGGAAAAAAACGGCAAAGCTGATAAAGGCGAAGAAGAAATGTATTATAGCAAGCGTCATTATTATTGCTTTTGTATCTAATGTTCCTTCTGGATGGAA